TTAAACACCATTCAGTGGTGCTATGCAACCATTAAATGCCATTCAGTGGTGCTATGCAACCATTAAATGCCATTCAGTGGCGCTATGCTGTCATCAAAGCAAACGCCTGGTCTACAACCCTCCCTGTTAAGTCCCCAACACATATTCTGTAAGTGGTGAAGGGAAGTGATCAGACACTACGGGACTCGGCTCAGCACTAACGTAGATGTATATAATGGTATATAATACAGACAAAATTAAAAATTAGAAACATGTACATGTGGGTATTCTTATTTGTAGATGTTCCGCCATCCAGTGGCTTTATCAATACAAATTCAAGGACATAATGGGAAGACATCAGAACTATATACAAGAAACGAGATAATCAGTCCCTCAGCCTTGGAGTTAGTGATTGTGGCATGCAAAGAGTACGTAACCTTTATTCGGCGCATGTACACACCCTCATTTACAGGCTATCTCCCCCAACCAGCGAACCAGGTTGCTAAGAGTTGATGATGGGGCCCCGTCGTTCAACTAGTGACCGGGCTCTACCCAATAAGAAGATGGTTTTGGCAATCGCAGAGGTTATGTGGGTACCGCTCTCCTGTCTGCCCTTGTCATTCCCATTCTAGAGCTGGTTGAAGCACGGTCTGCTATCTTGTGGCTTCTATTTCTGCTTTGCTTACCGTGGAGTGCACTATACTTATCACTGTACATAGTGTACATATTGCTGTTCTAAACTGGTGAAGGATAATATAAGTCTAAACTTTTTCTACTGTGTTTATTTGCTCCCATTACACCCGGGGTAACAGGCCATTCGGAAGCCTGGGTTGTAATAGTGATGAACACTGAAGTCTTTAAGAATCTGATACAGAGGCAGGAAGATATAAAAGGCACTGGACAGCGAAGTGTCTACACGAACATATTCCCAGATGGTGCACATATGTCTGAGTCTTCACTGACGTAGCTGCTGAGAGGTTATTGAGATATCTAATGGAGAAGAAGAGTGATTTGACGAATGTGATGAAGTCAGGTCAAAACAATATACTCAACTTCAAAAGTTTTAACGAGAAAAAGCTGGTATTAACCAAACTGGATTAGTGTGGGAAGTGTAGTTAGTTGTTGTTCCTGGTATACTCCATTATGTAGTATGTTACAGTGTGGGAAGTGTAGTTAGTTGTTGTTCCTGGTATACTCCATTATGTAGTATGTTACAGTGTGGGAAGTGTAGTTAGTTGTTGTTCCTGGTATACTCCATTATGTAGTATGTTATTTAGGTACAGCTACACAAATATAATTGTCATACATAGTGACTTAGAGTCATTGGGTCCTTCTAATATCTTATTATTTAAAAGTTAATATGATATTTTTCCCCTTGGAAATTTCTATCTTTGTGGTAGGCTGAGTGGGATTTATGCCTATTGGAGCCAGTAAAGTGTTGGTGCTGGTGTATAGGTCCTGATCTCCCTCACGCCTCCTCCTCCTCCTCCTCCTCCTTCCTAATCTCCCTCCCTCCCTCTCCCTCACAACGAGAGGAAGGTCAGGTAGATGGTCAAGTGGGAATAGTATAATAAGAGTCCGGTGTGTACCTCACTTACCTACCTCCTTCCCTTACCTACGTCTTTACCTAGCTTCTCTCCCTCCCTTTCCCCCTCCCTCCCTCTCTCCCTCCCTCTCAACTTGACTCCACAATCCTCTACTTGACTGGCTAATCCTCCGGCCATCTGTCATGGATGCCGCTGATCCTCAGTAATCCCCAATACTTCTCCAGTTCCTCACTAGTATACCCAGATTACTTGTGTTCCCAGTGGCAAACACCTCCAGTGGAGCGCCACTGTCTTGTGGTGGCTTAGTGGTGTTAGTGGATACTGTTGTGTGGTGACTTAGTGGTGTTAGTGGTCACTGTCTTGTGGTGACTTAGTGGTGCTAGCGGTCACTGTCTTGTGGTGACTTAGTGGTGCTAGTGGTCACTGTCTTGTGGTGACTTAGTGGTGCTAGTGGTCACTGTCTTGTGGTGACTTAGTGGTGTTAGTGGTCACTGTCTTGTGGTGACTTAGTGGTGCTAGTGGTCACTGTCTTGTGGTGACTTAGTGGTGCTAGTGGTCACTGTCTTGTGGTGACTTAGTGGTGCTAGTGGCCACTGTCTTGTGGTGACTTAGTGGTGCTAGTGGTCACTGTCTTGTGGTGACTTAGTGGTGTTAGTGGTCACTGTCTTGTGAGTTAGTGGTGCTAGTGGCACTGTCTTGTGAGTTAGTGGTGCTAGTGGCACAGATTTATTGCTAGTGGTGACTTAATGGTGGGTAGTGGTGACCATCGGTGTTATAACATCAAAGGTACACAGTATCCCGGACTCTTGCAACAGAGGATGTCTCCCCTGCAACTTTATTGTTAAGCTCTGGCTCAGCTTGTGGGCCCCTGACCGGCTTCCACTAGCGGGGTCCCCGTCCACCTGTGGCAACCTCTGCAACTGCTGCATTTCACCACCTCTTCTGTTGGACGTTACTACATCTCGCATTTGTGTTAGGTTGTTAGTCTCCTGTGTGAGCGAAACGTTGCTACAAGAAACTCTCTTTTGTTAATTATTATTATTATTATTATTACTATTATGATTGTTAGTGTTATTATTATATTCTTCGGAAGCGCTAAACCTGTAGGGAGTCATTCATATTTAATCCCAGGAGCGGGAGGGGGGTTTAGCTCCGACTCCTTGGATCAGTGCCCATCACCACCCACTCGTAGACATGACCAGGATTTTTATTCAATTTTAATTCCGATTCTTTCTTAGAAGCAACAACAACAACAACAACAACAACAACAACAACAACAACAACAACAACAACAACAGCTGCAGTAACAACAGTAGCAACAGCAGCAATAACAGCAACAATAGTAGCAGCAGCAGCAACAACAGAAAGAGCTGCAGTAACAACAGTAGGAGCAGCAGCAATAACAGTAGCAGCAACAACAGTAACAGGAACAATAGTAGCAGCAACAGCAACAACAGTAGCAGCAGCAGAAGCAATACAGTAGCAGCAACAACAGTAGCAGCAACACCAGTAGCAACAGCAATAACAGCAGCAGCAACAACAGTAGCAGCAACAACAGTAGCAGCAGCAACAACAACAGTAGCAGCAATAACAGTAGCAACAACAACGGTAGCAGTAACAACAACAACAGTAGCAGCAGCAACCACAACAGCAATAACAACACTAGCAGCAGCAGCAATAACAGTAGCAGCAACAGCAAGAACAGTAGTAGCAACAACAGTAGTAGCAACAACAACAGTAGCAGCAACAACAGTAGCAGCAACAACAGCAGCAGCAGCAATAACAGTAGTAGCAACAACAGTAGTAGCAATAACAGTAGCAGCAGCAGCAACAATAACAGTAGCAGCAACAACAGTAGCAGCAGCAACAGTAGTAGCAACAACAGTAGTAGCAACAACAGTAGTAGCAACAACAGTAGTAGCAACAACAGTAGCAGCAACAACAACAGTAGTAGCAACAACAGTAGTAGCAACAACAGTAGTAGCAGCAGCAACAACAACAGTAGTAGCAGCAGCAACAACAACAGTAGTAGCCAACACAACAGTAGTAGCAACAACAACAGTAGCAGCAGCAACAGTAGCAGCAGCAGCAACAACAACAGTAGCAGCAACAACAGTAGCAGCAGCAACAACAACAGCAGTAGCAACAACAGTAGTAGCAACAACAACAGTAGCAGGAACAACAGTAGCAGCAGCAACAACAACAGTAGTAGCAACAACAGTAGTAGCAACAACAACAGTAGCAGCAACAACAGTAGCAGCAACAACAGTAGCAGCAGCAACAACAACAGTAGTAGCAACAACAGTAGTAGCAACAACAACAGTAGCAGCAACAACAACAGTAGCAGCAACAACAGTAGTAGCAACAACAACAGTAGTAGCAACAACAGTAGTAGCAACAACAGTAGCAGCAACAACAGTAGCAGCAGCAACAACAACAGTAGCAGCAACAACAGTAGCAGCAGCAACAACAACAGTAGTAGCAACAACAGTAGTAGTAACAACAACAGTAGCAGCAACAACAGTAGCAGCAACAACAACAGTAGTAGCAACAACAGTAGCAACAACAACAGTAGTAGCAACAACAGTAGTAGCAACAACAACAGTAGCAGCAACAAGAGTAGCAGCAACAACAGTAGCAGTAGCAACAACAACAGTAGTAGCAACAACAGTAGTAGCAACAACAGTAGTAGCAACAACAACAGTAGCAGCAACAACAGTAGCAGCAGCAGCAACAATAACAGGAGCAGCAACAACAGTAATAGCAACAATAACAGTAGCAGCAACAACAGTAGCATCAACAACAGTAGCAGCAGCAACAACAACAGTAGCAACAACAACAGTAGTAGCAACAACAACAGTAGCAGCAACAACAGTAGCAGCAGCAGCAACAACAGTAGTAGCAACAACAGTAGTAGTAGCAACAACAACAGTAGCAGCAACAACAGTAGCAGCAGCAGCAACAATAACAGGAGCAGCAACAACAGTAGTAGCAACAACAACAGTAGCAGCAACAACAGTAGCAGCAGCAGCAACAATAACAGGAGCAGCAACAACAGTAGTAGCAACAACAATACGTCTACATGACTCACGAAATCGTAATGACACGATTGCAAACAAACCATACCCCGGCCGGGATTGAACCCGCGGTCAGAGAGTCTCAAAACTCCAGCCCGTCGCGTCGTCTGTAAAAACTTGCATTTGTGGTCACAGTGGTGCCTGTGCTAACCTTCCTATGGTGTAGAAATATACCTAGTTGGACGAATCTTATTGTGGCTAGCTGGTCTAGTGGCTAACGCGACGGGCTGGAGTTTTGAGACTCTCTGACCGCGGGTTCAATCCCTTCCGGGGTATGGTTTGATACGTCTACATAACAAAAGGTCACATAAACAACAGGTTAGAATAATAAAGAATAATTTATTCCTAATGACTTAGATAACAATAATTATTATATACACTATACAAGTTTATCCAGAGTTGCTGGGGTCTGAATGTAGGGGTCACTACGACTCTTGTAGTAGTGTTAGGACTGTAGGGGTCGCTACGACTCTTGTAGTAGTGTTAGGACTGTAGGGGTCGCTACGACTCTTGTAGTAGTGTTAGGACTGTAGGGGTCACTACGACTCTTGTAGTAGTGTTAGGACTGTAGGGGTCGCTACGACTCTTGTAGTAGTGTTAGGACTGTAGGGGTCGCTACAGCTCGTGTAGGAATAATGGGGCTGTAGGGGTCGCTACAGCTCATGTAGGAATAGTGTGGGGGCTGTAGGGGTCACTATGACTCTTGTAAGAATAGCGTGGGGATTGTAGGGGTCACTAGGACTCTTATAGGAGTAGTGTGGGGACTGTAGGGGTCACTACAGCTCATGTAGGAATAGTGTGGGGGCTGTAGAGATCGCTCCAGCTCTTGTAGTAGTGTAAGAGTCACTACGGCCCTTGTTAGAGGGTAGGAGTGTTGTGGGGGACTTTAGGGATCACTATGGCTCTTGTAGGAGGGTTATGGAGACTGTGGGGGCCACTATGACTTGCAGATGATGTGTGGGTCGCTATGCTCTTATAGGAGGGATGTGATAGCTGTGTTTGTCAGTACAGGTAATGTATACATGGAGTGAATGGTACAGAGGGTACAGCTGAAGAAGCCGGGGTCACTGCAGGTGATGCAGGTGGTGTAGACGGTGCAGGAGAGGGTGCGGAGGCAAGAGTGCGTGTCTCTGGTGTGTTCTGATGTGTTTCTTGAGATGATCCTTGCGTCCGAAGCGCTTGTCGCACAGCGGACATGGGAAGGGTCTAGCGCCGCTGTGGATGCGCCGGTGGCGGGTGAGCTCTTCGTTGCGGGTGAAGCGCTTGTGACACCCGTGGTGGGCGCAGGCGTAGGGTCTCTCACCCGTGTGGATCCTCAGGTGACCACGAAGCTGACCCTTGTTGCTGAAGGCGGATCCACACTCGCTGCACGCAAACCTTTTCGGGCGAACCCGGCTTCGTCCGCACACGCGTTCCACCTCCGCCGCCGGTACCAGCATGTCCAGAAGGGGAACCAGAGGCCCCATGGTCCCTAAATTGGCTAGGGACCCCAGCCGGGGCATCATGCTTTCTCCTGCTAGGGGTACCATGATATCTGCCATGCTGCCTACTCCACCCATCACTCCCACGATGCCGCCGACGCTGGCTGGTGGACAAGGTGGTGGAACGGGCGGCGCCAGCCCGCGAAGTTGGGCCATTAGAGGGTTCATCATTCTCATCACGCCCACATTGATACCGACACTGCCGCCCACGCCCATATTCCCACCTGCCACACTCCCGCCCTCCGTCTTGGAGAACTTACAAGGCAATGTGTTGCAGTGATCATGAGCGGGTCGCTTGAGGGTGGGAATAGGCACCGCCGCCTTAGTGGGTGGTGTGGGCGGGGTGTGGGCGGTAGGTGGGGTGTGGGCGGCGGTCGGGGGTCCTATGTAGGACTGCCAGGGTCGGAAAATAGGTGGAGGGGAGGGGTGGGGGGTGGGGCTAGTCATGTCTCACGCCCACACTTACACTCTCATCACCAGGTCACACAGGTCACTCTTGAAGTAGTACCAACCAGGTCACTTGAAGTAGTACCAACCAGGTCACTCTTGAGGCACCAACCAGGTCACTTGAAGTAGTACCAACCAGGTCACTCTTGAAGTAGTACCAACCAGGTCACTCTTGAAGTAGTACCAACCAGGTCACTCTTGAAGTAGTACCAACCAGGTCACTCTTGAAGTAGTACCAACCAGGTCACTCTTGAGGTACCAACCAGGTCACTTGAAGTAGTACCAACCAGGTCACTTGAAGTAGTACCAACCAGGTCACTCTTGAGGCACCAACCAGGTCACTTGAAGTAGTACCAACCAGGTCACTTGAAGTAGTACCAATCAGGTCACTCTTGAAGTAGTACCAACCAGGTCACTCTTGAAGTACCAACCAGGCCACTCTTAAAATAGTACCAACCAGGTCACTCTTGAAGTAGTACCAACCAGGTCACTCTTGAAGTAGTACCAACCAGGTCACTCTTGAAGTAGTACCAACCAGGTCACTCTTGAAGTAGTACCAACCAGGTCACTTGAAGTAGTACCAAACAGGTCACTGTTGATATAGTACCAACCAGGTCACTCTTGAAGTAGTACCAACCAGGTCACTTGAAGTAGTACCAAACAGGTCACTGTTGATATAGTACCAACCAGGTCACTCTTGAAGTAGTATCAACCAGGTCACTTGAAGTAGTACCAAACAGGTCACTGTTGATATAGTACCATCCAGGTCACTTGAAGTAGTACCAACCAGGTCACTTGAGAAAGTGCCAGCCAGGACACTGTTGAAATAGTACCAACCAAGTCACAAAATATCTCACCGTTGAGGTCACATTAGATGACTGATGGAGGTCACAGACAATCCTAGAGGTGAGAGAGGGGTAGTAAGACAGACTTCTGGAGGTGTGACCAGGATGACCTCTGGGAGGTGTTGCTTACAGAGGTGTGACCAGGATGACCTCTGGGAGGTGTTGCTTACAGAGGTGTGACCAGGATGACCTCTGAGAGGTGTGGCTTACAGAGGTGTGACCAGGATGACCTCTGGGGAGTGACTGAAGCATAGACCACCGCTCGCCTGCCTGTTGATATAGTACCAACCAGGTCACTTGAAGTAGTACCAACCAGGTCACTTGAGAAAGTGCCAGCCAGGACACTGTTGAAATAGTACCAACCAAGTCACAAAATATCTCACCGTTGAGGTCACATTAGATGACTGATGGAGGTCACAGACAATCCTAGAGGTGAGAGAGGGGTAGTAAGACAGACTTCTGGAGGTGTGACCAGGATGACCTCTGGGAGGTGTTGCTTACAGAGGTGTGACCAGGATGACCTCTGGGAGGTGTTGCTTACAGAGGTGTGACCAGGATGACCTCTGAGAGGTGTGGCTTACAGAGGTGTGACCAGGATGACCTCTGGGGAGTGACTGAAGCATAGACCACCGCTCGCCTGCCTTATATAGCCTTCCCCGACCCTCCCATCCCTTCCCCCTCCTTCCTGCCATCTCTACTGTTCCATCTCTTTACTTTCTCCTCTACCTTGCCTCCTCCTATCTTTCCTCCCTCTATCTTATCCCCTTCTACCTTGTCTCCTTCTACCTTGCCCCCTTCTACCTTGTCTCCTTCTACCTTGCCCCCTTCTACCTTGTCTCCTTCTACCTTGCCCCCTTCTACCTTGCTTCTTCCCCCATCTGACTCTCCATCTTTTCTGTGCCTCTGTTTGTTGTGATGTGTGAAGCTGCTCTTGTATTTTCCTCTCTCCCTCCCTTATGGAGATCCCTCCCTTATGGAGATCCCTTCCTTATGAAGATCCCTCCCTTATGGAGATCCCTCCCTTATGGAGATCCCTCCCTTATGGAGATCCCTCCCTTATGGAGATCCCTCCCTTATGGAGATCCCTCCCTTATGGAGATCCTCCCTCACTTTTAATGGTTGAATCTCCCTCCTCTTACAGTGAAGTTCCCTCTCCCTCCCTCCCTCTCTGTTATGGTTTACCTACCTGAAGGATGTTCTGGGGGTCAACGCCCCCGTGGTCAGGGCCATGACCAGGCCGCGGTCAAGGGCTTCTCCTCCTCAGTAGTTAAGCTACCTTTCCTCCACTCTGGAGGACCTTAGATCCACTTCCTCCACTCTGGAAGGCCCCCCAGGTCCCCTTCCTCCATCATGGAGGGCCCTAGATCCCCCTTCCTCCGTCATGGAGAGCCCCAGATCCTCGTCCTCCTTCATGGAGGGCCCCAGGTCACCTTCCTCCACCATGGAGGACCCCTTCCTCTATTCTGGGGGCCCCAGGACCCCTTCCTCCATCATGGAGGGCCCCAGATCTGCGGGCAGCGGTGGAGTACCCTGACCGCCGTCATTGTGTTCCCTGGGCCGCAATTAGGCATAAATATTGGCCCGTCAGCGGCCAACAAAGGGGTCCTCGGCAGCCTGGCTGCCAGTCCTGCCAGCTAAATATGTTGACATCTGGCCTAATGCATCAACAAGGCAGAGCCAATTGTGGACGGGTCGCGTGGGGCGGCAGGGGCGGTCCGCCCACGGCGTGTCGGCAGGAAGGTCGCCCTTACGGTCGCCATACCACCCAAATTCCGCTCGAGTGCTGATGTCTGTGTGACGGGCGTGGTGAACCCTCCCGCCATCTTTATCACCCTTGCTTCCTCTACCCTCTCCTCTTTTTCCTCCTCCTCCAACTCGTCTTCTTCCTCCTCCTTCTCATCTATGTTGCAACTTGCTCCAAAACACTAATTAATGCCCCTGTTGTGAGGAGAAAGTTGTAGCATGAAGGAGGAGCTGGGTAAACAGCACGGTCCTGGTGGCAGGGGCTGAGACCCCCACCAATAGTCGTCTGCTATTGGTCTCTCCCGCCCCGGCACGCCTCCCATTGGTCCAGCTGCACACTGACGTCACAGCTGACACGCTTTCCATTGGTCCAGCTGCCCACTGATGTCACTCAGCTGACACGCCTCCCATTGGTCCAGCTGCCCACTGACATCAGCTGACATGCCTCCCATTGGTCCAGCTGCACACTGACGTCACAGCTGACACGCTTTCCATTGGTCCAGCTGCCCACTGATGTCACTCAGCTGACACGCCTCCCATTGGTCCAGCTACCCACTGACATCAGCTGACATGCCTCCCATTGGTCCAGCTGCACACTGACGTCACAGCTGACACGCTTTCCATTGGTCCAGCTGCCCACTGATGTCACTCAGCTGACACGCCTCCCATTGGTCCAGCTACCCACTGACATCAGCTGACATGCCTCCCATTGGTCCAGCTGCACACTGACGTCACAGCTGACACGCTTTCCATTGGTCCAGCTGCCCACTGATGTCACTCAGCTGACACGCCTCCCATTGGTCCAGCTGCCCACTGACATCAGCTGACATGCCTCCCATTGGTCCAGCTGCACACTGACGTCACTCAGCTGGCACGCCCCAGTTGGCTGGGCAGTTACCAACTGCTATTTAAGTCACCTTAACCACACACACACATACACTTGCACAATATATTTGAGTTCTGGTATCTATAAACTTGACAATTTGTGGTCACAATGGTGGTCTATGCTAACCTTCCTATGGTGTATAAATAGCTGGATGAATCTTATTGTAGCCAGCTGGCCCAGTGGCTAACGCATCAGTCTGGAGTTTTACGACTCACCGCGAGTTCAATCCCCGCCCATACCCTGGTTGCTTGCAATCTTCTCATTATGAGCTGTGAGGATGTATGTAACAGCATGAAAGTGCTCAGGTTTTCCTGTTTTAATTGTGATATTTTTACACACACACACACACACACACACACACACACACACACACATGTATATATATATATATATATATATATATATATATATATATATATATATATATATATTATATATATATATATATATATATATATATATTTAGATATATGTATATAGATAGATAGATAGATACAAGGAAATTGTTTCCGGCCAGATTTATGTGGTATCTGTGGGTGAGTGTGGTAAGTCAGGGAGTCAGACTCTGCCAGGGAGTAGAGTTGACTTCACGGGTCTGAACTTCCATTGGTTTGACGTGAATATTTGTAAATAGAACGCTACTGTACTGTTGCAGGAATATACTATTGCTACTACTACTAGTAGTAGTAGTACTGTTAATAATAATAATATAACACTGTGAAGTGTTACTGGCTCTTAATTAGGTTGGTAATTGTTTAACAGTTACTATGGGAAGGTTTTAATGACTATGGTAATAGTTTAAGTGCCCTATTTTGGCACTGATTGCACCTTTAAGGATCTAATAACCCTGAAAGTGGCCGGTCTTGTGGTCCTAATGACCCTCTGGTAGTGGTTGTTACACACAAGAGAGAGGGTTTTAGTGGTTCTGGTAGGGTCGTAGTGGCTGAGAGGGGGTCTAGTGGTCCTGGTAGGGTCGTAGTGACTGAGAGAGGGTTTTAGTGGTCCTGGTAGGGTCGTAGTGACTGAGAGAGGGTTTTAGTGGTTCTGGTAGGGTCGTAGTGACTGAGAGGGGGTCTAGTGGTCCTGGTAGGGTCGTAGTGACTGAGAGAGGGGTCTAGTGGTCCTGGTAGGGTCGTAGTGACTGAGAGAAGGTTTTAGTGGTCCTGGTAGGGTCGTAGTGACAGAGAGGGTTTTAGTTGTCCTGGTAGGGTCGTAGTGACTGAGAGAGGGGTCTAGTGGTCCTGGTGTAGCGAGGGCTACTTAATCAGCCATGAATTACACTAGATAACAAATTCAATTTCGTGAGCGAGGCATATCTGAGTGTGGGATCTGTGTGTGTGTGTGTGTGTGTGTGTGTGTGTGTGTGTGTGTGTGTGTGTGTGTGTGTGTGTGTGTGTATGTGCCTCACAAGACCCTGTCCAGCTCTTTCACAACGTCACATGTACTACGCTTGCTCTTCCATGGTACTCTGCCTTGACAAAAAAATGAAAGATTGACTACAAATCAGCCAGAACAAAATGGTAAGATTCATCTTGGACCTGGATCCAGGAGAGCATGTAGGCCAGGATGGTAAGATTCATCCTGGACCTGGATCCAGGAGAGCATGTAGGCCAGGATGGTAAGATTCATCCTGGACCTGGATCCAGGAGAGCATGTAGGCCAGGATGGTAAGATTCATCCTGGACCTGGATCCAGGAGAGCATGTAGGCCAGGATGGTAAGATTCATCCTGGACCTGGATCCAGGAGAGCATGTAGGCCAGGATGGTAAGATTCATCCTGGACCTGGATCCAGGAGAGCATGTAGGCCAGGATGGTAAGATTCATCCTGGACCTGGATCCAGGAGAGCATGTAGGCCAGGATGGTAAGATTCATCCTGGACCTGGATCCAGGAGAGCATGTAGGCCAGGATGGTAAGATTCATCCTGGACCTGGATCCAGGAGAGCATGTAGGCCAGGATGGTAAGATTCATCCTGGACCTGGATCCAGGAGAGCATGTAGGCCAGGATGGTAAGATTCATCCTGGACCTGGATCCAGGAGAGCATGTAGGCCAGGATGAATTAAAACAATTGGATATGTTGAATGTTGAAGACAGAGTCAAACAGAAGTTAAATCAAGTTTATAAAACTGCTCACAGTGTCCAGAATATCTTTCTGCCAATATTGTCAAGGTTGGCAACCAAAACTAGGGGGAGAGAACACAAGTTTGGTACAATAATATCCCTCTACGTGCAGCCAACAGTAACAGCCTGGTTGATCAGGCCCTGATCCACCATGGCGCCTGGCCACAGACCGGGCCGCGGGGGCGTTGACCCCCGGAACACTCTCCAGGTAAACTCCAGGTAGTAGTGGAGTTGAGCGCCTCTGGTGGTAAGAGTGGTGGCCTGGAGAGAGGTTCCTTGAAGGTGGTGGTGAGGGTCTCTTGATCCAAGGAATGTGATCTATGTCACCTGGGAGTGAACTTATCCTCCCAGGTGGTCCATGACCCCCACAGGTTGAGCGCTCCACCATGAGTAGTACTGATAGTGGTGATGTAGTAGTGACATCCAGTGACGATATAGTAGTGCCATCTAGTGGTAGTAGTCAGAGTTAGTCAGGTTATCAGTGATGGTGTTATAATAAAGGTCAGGACAGTGACCAACCTTAAGGTCACTAAAGGTCAGTTAACCTTCAATGGTCGCACAGGAGAGACCTGTTGCTCCTTCTCTTGCCGCCCCGCCGGCTTTACCGCTTCTTCATCCTTTTAATACACCTAAATAACGTAAGTATTGTCTACTGACGTATTTGTCAATACAACAGCAGAGTTGATTTGCAGCTCCTGGCCCCACCACCATTTACTCCCCAAAATTTGATTTTAACCCTTAATTTTCTTGGGGTTGATCTAATGTCTTAAGGGGGGGGGGGGGGGGGGGGGGTGATTGACCTTAGGGGAGGGTTTTGATGCGAGGAACTGAGCTACCCTCTTC